AGGTGCAGAAAGTCCTTATAAGCACCAGGCTCCTGCATCTCTCTGCGTGAGGGCTCCCCTGGTGGCCAGGCACTGAGCCCATCCCTGGGAGGCCACAAGTGTAGGGGTTTGGTGCCCTAGAGCAAGCCTCAACCCCCCGTGGCACTTACTGTAGGCTGAGCCGCTTAGAAGCCAGGGGGGTCTCTAAGCTGAGCGCTGCGACCGGGGCCTGGTTAAGGCTGTCACCCCGCCCTGTTACAAGCCAGAGTGCTTCGTCAGCATTGGGAGCAGGGGGCAGGGTGACACAGGGTCTCCAGCCAGAGCTTGTGGGATCCACGTGCAGGACAGCTCTGCCACCTCCCCCTCTGTGAACCTCACGCTCTTCTGTGTGGCCCTGGTCCATGCCATCTATTTAGAATGAGCCCTGTGGCATGAAAGCTCCCAGAACCATGGGGGCCCTGTGCCAGCTGGAGACCTGTGCAAATAGTACCCAGGCAGGCGACGCCCGCGGCTCCTACAATTCATGGTCAATGCGAAAGAGGAAATGAAAATGCTGCGTCTGCACTGCCCCTCCTCAGGCCACTCGGACCACCCTGGCTGTTGCCCTCCTTCGCCTCTGGCGGGAATGATGTCAACCACGTGCAGCCCCCAGCTGGTTGTGCAGATCAGAAGCTCTAAGGGCCAGAGCTTAGTCTTTGATTAATAAAAAATGCGAGATAAATTAATAATGACTTAAAACAATTTGGGATCAAAATCTTTCCAAAGCATGGAGAAAATAGTAAAAAGGGGAGTTCTTGAGAGTGGAAAGTTTGAGAATGAGTGCTGTCCTCAGAGGCCAGCCATGAGCCAGGCACGGCTGGGAGACACCAGGGAGACAGGAGAAAGGACGGGGCTGGGTTCTCACACCTGCTCTGGGCGAGGCGCAGCACTTGCCCACCACACAGGTTCCCTTCATCCTCACACAAGCCTGGGCAACGCTGCAACTGTCCTTGCTTTGTAGATGAGTAAACTGAGGCTCAGAGAGGCCAAATTATTTGCTCTGGATACTTACACAACTGGCAGAGATTTGAATCTCGGCCTGCCTCTCTTGAAAAGGAAAAAATGAAACAAACGAGCCCCAAACTCTGGAGTCTAGAAAGTCGCTCTGGTTTGCATTTACAACAGAAAGCAGAGGGACAAGCAGAGGGAAGAGCTAAAAGCTGAGTGCCAAGGGTGCATCTCCTACTTGCTGTGGCACCCGGACCAGGGCACATAGCAGGCACTCACAACGGTTTCAAATGGAAGCCGGACAAGCCTGGGGGCATAAACGGGCACAGCCCAACTTGAGGGGGCGGGTATGACTGTGTTTAAGCCTCTAGTTTCTGAAGAAGTGTGACTAGGTGCATTTCGTCTTCTTTTTTAAATCTTTCATTATGGAATGATTTCAAATACAGAAAAAGCAGACATCAGGGACCACATCACCCAGAGTCACTCGATGTTCATATCTGGCCATATTCATTGCAGATGTTTTTATAGTGAAGCGATGCAGAGGCAGATTAAAAAAAAAAAGCCCTTACCCCATGCCATCCCCTGAGGTCACCACTGGCCTTGCAGTTGGTGTACCCCCTCGGTGAACATTTGACATTATTTTGTGTTTTTAAACTTTCATAATATTGGTATCTCACTGTCTTGCCTTCTACAATTTGATTTTCACTCAATTACTGTGTTTAATTGAGTCTGTGTCGATACACGTAGATCTCATTCATTCATTTTAACTGCTGTGCGTTATTTTACTGGATGAATATAGTTTATTTCCCTATTCTCTTATTGATGGACGTATGGGCAGTTTTTACTTGCTATTTCAAATGGTGCAGCAAAGAACATCTTTATACACATCTCCTGGTGCACTCACGTGTCCCATATAACCTTTATGACAACTGCAGCATGTTGGAATTTGTGCATTCTGACGTGACCTTGTAGGACTGCTTCATGTCTTGGAAGCTTGGTTTTCTTCATCAGTAGACAGGGTAATAAAATCGCGGACATTTTGGGGACAATCCGGGGGTTCAACATAGAGAGATGCATTCTGCAACTTGTAAAGTACTCCACGTATATTTCCTGTTTACTTCGAGGGTATTCGACATCCGGGATATGTGCCGGGCACACTCCCATGCTGGGGACATGATACACAGGCCCCGGGACAGGCCTGTAACGTGCTCACCTGTCAATGAGGCAGTCGGAGAGACGCCACCGCAGCAGGACTCACAGGAACCTGCTGGCTAGCCTGGCCGGCAGTGTCGAGGCAGGCGCGGCTTCAGAGAGGAAGGGGTAGTGAGCTGTGTAAGTCCTTGGAGGACGAGGAGGCCAACGCGAGTGGAAGAGGGGAGGGCGGAAGGATGGCCTAGACCCAGAGAGCTGCAAACAGGAAGGGCCGTACTGATGAGAGAGCAAGAGTGCTCGGACAGAACCTGAGAGCTGGGGGTAAGGGGCCAAGGACAGAAAGCCATCTAGAGAGGCAGACAGAGCTGTGACGCTGTATCCTAGGGCAACAGGGAGCCACTGAAGGATTTTCAGCAAGGGAGTGACAAGCTCGGATCTGCTCAAGATCTGCTGTTCAATATGGGACCTTGGGTCAACAATAATGCACTGTGCACAAAATCTGTTGGGGGGAAGCTCTCCTGCTAAGTGTTACCGGAGTTGCAAAACCAGGTCTGGCTGCAGCATGGAGGGCATGAGGGGAGAAGCTGGGAAAACCGCCAGGGGAATGTGGAAGTGCTGCAGGCCAAACACTGAGGGGGCCAAACTCAAGTGGGAGTCCTTTGGCTGCCGTCACCCCGACGGCATGCCCCCGACACCATGCGGTGGGTGTGGCTTCATCAGGACGGATGGGCAGAACCGTCCACCCTTGTATTGAGAGAGGCCATCCTCATACACCCCAGCCAATCCCCTTCTTAGGCTCTTACCATCTTGCAAGGCAGGAGGTTTCCAGTCTCTGGATGATACGAGCTCTTTTGGCATATTGGTACCACGGGCATGGCTAGATATTCACCATCATCCCACGGTAAGAGACCCCACTCTATCCAGACGGTACAGATGCCATGTGGGGTTAGGGGAAGGGGAGGGCAACACATTCTAGGACAAGAGGGGCTAATGGCTATTGCTGAGTAGCTGTGTCTAATGTCTAAAACACCCAATACATAAAATGGGACAAAGACACAAAAGAACTACTCCAGGCCTCCATTTCTAATGTGGGACTTCCTACCACCCCTAGCTCTGAGTGACAGTATTGCCTTTGAAGCATCTACCCTTGGGGCAGTGGCATGTCCCTGGCCCCCCCAGAACTAGGTGAAAAGCCCTTGCCATCCACTCGCCTGGTATCTATACTTCCCTTTCTAGAACATTCATCCCTTTTAGAATTACAAGTTTAATTTCTGTGCTCCTTGTTGGGTTATAAGCTCTGTGGCGGAGTGACCAGAACTGCTGGTAGTTCCCCTGGTGCTGGAACAGAGTCTGGCTCATGACGGGCCCTCCAGGAATATCTGTGAGGAGCATCAACAGAAAGCCCCAGGGGAGGGGAAAGGGGGGAAGGAAGACACCCACATTTGAGGGGCCCGGAGGGAGAAGTGTCTTGCCCAAGTCACAGGAGAGGCAGGAAGAGATCACGGCTCCCGCTGGGACCTCTGAGGCTTAGCGCAGGCCTCATAGCTCACCACACTCAGGGGTGCGCAAGGGGGCCGTGCCACGGACCAGTGTGTCCCAAAGTACAGCCCATAGAATGCTGCTCTCAAAAGATTCTAGTGGACAGGACTGTCCTATAGTTAAATAAGCTTGGGAAACTCTGAGTTAAACAAAATGAAAACGATTTGATGACCACTAGACCTTTCTGATATGCTCAGGTGCCTAGGATTTTTGGGGAAGGTCCCAGGCAGTCTTCCTGTCCTCTAAGGACTGTCAAATTCTGCCCAGAAAGCACAGCGTAAAACCTCGGGCACCGCCTCCAGATGCCTCTGCTGGGTTGTTTCCCGAACAACGGCCCAGGATGGAGATGTGCCTGCGACTTTTTGGGCCACGCAGGAAAACCCCCTTTCACAAATGGAGGTGACCACACACCCTGATATATCAGTGGGATGACCACAGAACTGTTCTGGTTGTGGGGGGCCTGGAGATCTCATGGGGCTGTCCCTTCACTGCTGCCATGCATGGAACCCTAGTGTCCTACGGAGCCCAGTCTGAAAACCGCCGGTTACCCAACTCTCCATACAGGTGACATCAGGGGACCTGGCTTCTCATGCCAGCTCTGCCGTGAACTGCTTTACCTTGGGTCCATCTCTTCGCCACATGGGGCCTTGCTTTCCCTGTTCACACAACGAGTCTATTCGACGGGATGCTTCCTGGAGTCTTGAACTTTAATCTCTGGTGTGAGGAGGGCTGTGATTCCACGACTATAACGTTCTGATTCCATGGTCCTCTGGCTCTGAGATTTCATGGCTTAGTATTCCGATTCTGGGAGCGCCCGTGGCTGGCCTGAGCTGGGGCAGCACGGTGGAGGCCAGGCGGTGGAAAGTAGGATTCATTGCCTGCAGTGTGCCGCCCGCCGCCCGAGAGGACCAGGTCCCTGGGGAGGTCTTGCCCCATGTAAGATGGAGGGGCTCAGTGGGGAGGGCAGTGGGGGTGGAGCGGAATCAGCAGCGGCTCAGTGGGCAGAGCAGGGAGAGGGACCCAGGTCTCCTGACTCCTGCTCTATCTTTAGATCTCCATAGCAACCGTCACCAGGGCTCCGGAGCTAAAGGAGGGCTGAGCTGGCTGCCTGCAGGAGGAAGGGGTGTTTGTTTCTGTACCTCTTTTGCTCAGGAGAGGACTCTGGGCTGGGCTCTTGAGCCAGGGAAGGGAGACTTCGAGTGGAGCTGTTTGCAGCAGGAAAGGCCTGGGCCCTGTACAAATAAAGGTAATCCAGGACCCACCTTGCTGGGAGAATGTGACCAGGTCATAGAACCCGAGAGCGTTGTGTCAGGCTTGAGGCACAGGAGGTACATAAGGCAAGTCCCTCCTCCAAAGAGCTCTTAGCTACCCCTATGGTCATTCCCTAAACACTCAGCAAGCAACACATCAGAGCCAACCCTGAGACCACAGCAAGGACACGCAGTTTCCAGGGAAAGCAGGTTTTAGAACAGGCATTTCTAGGGCAGGGTGTGACGGGAGGCCCCAAGCCCTCTAATCTGAGATACCTGGGAAGCTCTTCCTGCACCTTCTCCTGCCAGCTCCTACTCATCCCTGGGCCTGGCATGGACCTGGCTTTCCCCCGGGAGTCCTCCAGGATGCCCACGCCTCCTGCAGCCCCATCTTCCCTCCACTGAGCAGAATGTCGGCCTGAGGGAGTCAGCAACCTCGTGAGGTAGATAAGAGCTGGAGGAGCAGGGAGGCAGACGTTCACCTACAGTCACCAGGCCAGTGAGCGGTGGGCCAGGCCTGCACTCCAGTCTGTGCTTCTCCCAGTGTTCCAGTGGCAGGACCCTGGCCAGGGCTTCGGAAGGGAGGCCCGGCTAGAAGAGGAAGTAGGAGTCCTCGGCCAGGCCTGCGCACAGCAGGCACTTGGCCATGTCCTTGGTAAACTCGGCTGAGCCACAGACCAACGCAAACGGCTTTCTGCGACAGGAACCAACCAGCTCTTTGATCAGGCCCTGGGCCAGGCGGCCAAAGCGGGTCTTCTCTCGGTAACTCTGGGGAAGCTTCTCCGGGGAGTTCTCCTGAGACAATGAGAAATCATGCAGGTGACTACTGGGAAGTCTTCAGAGTTCCCCCAGTTCGTTGTCGAACCAGGAAACTGAGGTGGGGGGCGGGGTAAAGGCAACCTTTAGCTAGCATTACTGCAGGCCAGAGACTTCTTGGCATGGGGGCTCTGATTACCCTCGTAACAAGCCCGGGGATGGGGGGGTGCTTTTCCTCCCAGGTGAGGCACAGGGAGGAAGAGGCACACCCCAGGGCACACAGGGAGGCAGGCCCCACCAATTCTCGCTGCCTCCAGGGGCTGCTGCACCCGTCACTCCAGGGGGATGTTTGCTCCCCGAGATTGGGGACCTCCCCGTATCTTTGTAAGGCTGTCCACCACCGTCATCATGGGAGCATGACATGTGTTCATTGGTTTCATCAGGCTTTAATGACCTTGTTGATGGAACCCATTTTTACTGAGTGGGCACTCTGTGCCCTGCACCGTGCTAGGCACCGGGATGTGGCAGCTGCTCAAAACAGACGAGCTTCCTGGTCTCGCTCTGGCTTTGTGTCCTGGGGATCCGAGGCAGCAGTGCCTTAACCAAGGCGGGGTGGGTAACTATTTCTCACATAAAAAGGCTGGAAGAAGGATTCCAGGGTGCACGGTGCCCTGGTGACCCAGGCTTCTCTCTTTCTGCTCCTCCTCCTAGCCTTAGCTGGTGGCTTTCATCTTCAGGATCACAAAACAAAAGCCCACCTCCAGCTTACCCGGAGGAACTTCTCTCTTTTAAGTGGATGTTCCCCCGAAGTACAATCGCACAGAGAAAGCGCATAAGTCAGTAAGTGTGTGTAATCTGACGATCTCTAATGGAGGCAAGACACCATGTGCCCAGCATCAGAACAAACAAAACCAGAACGGGACCATCCCCTCTGCAGACCCTATAAAGGCAGGCTTCTAGCTTCTGGGGCTAAGCAGAGAGACGCGAAGGAGAGAGAGGAGGCTGGAGTCTAAGCTCTGCCACCACGTCCCGGCTGAGTGACCACGACCTCTGTGAACCACTGTGATGAATGCAGGCCTTTTCTCACAGCGCCTCAGAGGCCCACCCCACAGAGCTCATCTGACCCCACTGCGGTGCTCACGGGGGATCCTCTCTGGAGATCTGGACCTTCCATGCCCCCTCCATGCTCTGACCCACCCAAAGGGCTCTTGTGGGCCGGGACCACAGGGCCCACCGGCCTCACCTCTTCCTCCCGCTGCCCAATTCCCCCAGTTTAGTTAGGTTTGGCATAGTCCCCCTCCCCCAACTGCACACCCAGAGATGCAGTGGGTCTGGTTGCTGACCAGGTGGGGTGGGGAGCCCACAATCAGTGATGGCACCGCAGGGTAGCTGCTGTCAAGGAGGAGAGCCCCGGCTATGACAGCAGAAACACCTATGCCAGTCTAGGGGATCTAGAGAACTTTCGGGATAGAGTCACACCCCAGCAGAGAGATACGTGGGGTGAGCAGGCTGGGCAGGCGCTAGGTGAGGAGGTGGGGGAAAGTGCTTCTGGAAGGGGGATTTGGCACCAGCACAGGCAGGCCCAGCAGCCAGCTAGAAGAGCACGGTGCCCTCACAGCCAGGAGCAGGCCAGTGACCAGTGACACTGGGACATACAGGGAGGGTGTGCCAGGAGACAAGGCCACACGGGTTGGTGCAGCTGTGTGGGCTGGGCCATCATCTTGAGAGCAGTGGGGAGCCAGGGAAGGGCTGGAAGCAGGGTGGTGGAGGGGTCAGGGCTGCCCTTTTGGCTGCAAGAGGAAGGGCCAATTGGCAGGGAGTGTCTGGAGAGGGAGCCCCGTGGGGCTGCCGTGGCTACAGCCTGGCCAGGCCAGGGAGCATCCCAGGTCAAGGGGGCACCTCCCACTCCACTGCCCTTCACCTGTCCCTGCCTTTGACAGCCAGCCCGCTCATCTGACCAGGCCCAGGCCATTGGCATCATCAAAGCCCTGGCCCAGGGCTGAAGACCCTTAATTGCTGGTCGACTTTAACTCTGCTCTCAAGCCCAGGCTCAATGCCAGCTCCTCTGTGAAGCCCTCCGTGCTTGCTGCCAGCATCCTCAGCGCCCTCCCCATGTGCTGTCTTACACCAACACGTGGTAAAAGCAGGCTTCTAGACCAAGACCTCCTGGGCTCACACCTAACTCTCTACCAACTCAGTCAAGGTTCTTAGTATTTCTGTGCCATCTCTACAACACGGGCATGATGGCAACACAAGCCTCCTAAAATTGTGGTGGGATTAAATGATTTCACACCCACAGATGGCCTAGAACAGTGCCAGGCACGGAGAAAGTGCTCGGTGAAGCCCCATCCCTGGGGCTGTCTCTCCACAGCAAGGTGAGTGCCTGAAGGACGGGGCAGGCCATCTTCATTTCCCTATCCTGGGCACTGGCATGCGGTCAGGGGACAGGAAGGCCGGCCAACAGCCTGGTGGTGTCTGCCACTCCTCCCACCTTCCCTGAGCTGGGCCCCAAGCAGAGGGGACAGGCCCATCCTGGGCACATGGTCGGGCTGCACACTAGCCTTTGCTTCATTCCCCGGCCTTCAGCTCTCCTGTCACTGCAAACACTCACCAAGCATGGCCCTCCTCATGTTCACGCCACCGGGCCTTCTGTCCCATGGACAAGCCCATAGAACCTGGTCCCTGAGGATTCCAGAGCACTGGTACTGGGGAGGGAAAGCCGTTTTCCTGACAGCACCCCACCCAGTCACACTGGGGAAGATCATGCCAGTCTTTGGGGACACTCTAAGGCTGCCTCAAGTAGGAAGCTGATGAGAAGGGTGCTCTGAAGTCCTGGGCAGTGAGGCCGACCCTGAGCAACACAGAACGGGTAGGGGCCCCAGCAGGGACCCAGGTCTGGGGGGCGCATGGAAGAGAAATAAAGCTGCAGACCAAGAGGAAGGGAGCTCAGGGCCTGGCTTGGGTTAAGGAACAAGACCCCCCACCCCCCAACCTATGGGCCAGAGGGGAGGGAGAGGGCAAGGTGGCCTGAGTGCATGAAGGGAGGAGGAATCCGAGGGGCAGAGGTCAGGAGGCAGAGTTGCTTCTAGTTCAAGTTTCTGCAGGCTGGAGAGTCTGGAAGCAGCTTTCCTCCCATGTAAGGGCAAAGTGCTGTGGGAGGGGCCCGAATAAATGCGGTGACCCCAGATCCGCTTGCTCCACCAATCCTTGATGGCGAGCAAGCCTACTCTGTGCCTGGCACCCTGCTGAGCACCGAAGGGAGCCTGGTGATCCAGACACGTGATCCCTGCCCCGAAGGAGCTTATCCCAGCCTTGGGGACATCTACGGCTTGGCCCACTGACTCCACACACAGGTCCCCCGCCCATATATCGCCCATATATCTGGTGAGGCCAGGGGGCAGCTGACAGGCAGCGCAGCACGGTGGGGAGGGCCAGAGCTCAGCCTGGGCTCCAGTCTTGGCTTCCCCCCAGCACGGACAGGCCAGCGCCCCCACCTCTCAAGCATCAGTTCCCACATCCACACACACCAAATAGAACCAGACCTGCCTTCCTTGCCGGGCACAGGGTGGCAGTCCCCCCCTGGAGCAAGGATCTCTACTGCAGCCCCGGAGCAGGGAGGCCATAGCGGATCCTCAGGACGGGTGCAAGGGGCCGGCACAGTCTCAATCAGGGAAGGAAGTCATGATGCTGGGCTCACCTGGCTGAGGACAAAGAAGGTTCGGACGTTCCAGAAACGGGCCTGCTCCTGGAGGAAGGTCTTCAGGTAGATGCCCTCAAAGGTCTTAAAGCAGCCGACCAGGGTGACAAAGGTCTCATCCTCTGCGTTGTCTGTTATGGTCTGCAGGATGGGCACCATGGGGGCCAGGCCAGTGCCCGAAGCCAGCATGAGGAGCTCACCATACTGGGGAACAGAACGGGGAGAGGGCAGGTCTCAGCCCACCCACCCACCACATGGCCTATTCCTGGGCTTGCTTGAACTGCACAGCACAGCACAGCCCTTCCTGGGGTTCCCACCTGTGTGAGGTCCCCTCTCCACGTCCTTCAGGAAGCCATCCTTGCTTGTGAAAGCCTACAGCTTATGAGGTCTGTGTCACAGAAATCATGGAATCTGGAGGTTGAAATGGAACGTAAAAAGGTGTAGCCCATCCTACAAGTGGTTCAGCTGCTCTCCTACCCATCTCCACAGGACTTGGCTTACATACTTCTCTTGACAGGGAGCCCACTACCTCCCAAAGCAGATCGCTCTGTCATAGGCTGACTTCCCCTGCCAGGGAGGTCTTTCCACCTCACACTGAGCTGAAACCTGCTCCTGCCAAAGCCTAGTCTGCCACCCCTATCGCAGCCCTGCCCTCTGCGCTGCCTTCTCTGCCCCAGGGCAGCCCTGTAGAGATCTGAGGGCCCTGACATGGATTCCTGAGCCTGCTCTAGACTGAGATATTTACTACACATAAGCGCCCAGCACAGCCCTGGCACAGAAGAGCCACACAATAAAAGTGAATTTCTTCCCCAGGAGGGCCCAATTCCATCAACCCATTACTGAATTCACGAATTCATCTCCTGGCTCTAGGTCTCTTTAGGAGATGTGATCTTCTTTAAGGTCAGTGCTTTAAAGGTTAGTGTCTGACCTATGCAGCAAGCTAGTCACCTCCTTCATTTTAGAGATTACGCCTCTGAGAATGCAGCCCAAGTTTCCACCAGCTTTACCGACGGCTAATGTCTCTCACACCCCAGCATGAAATACTTCCTCGAGTATCAGTCATGCAGACCTGTAAATCATCAGCCAAATGATCTGGCCAAGTGCTTTCACTTCTCTGAGCCTTGGTTTCCTCACAGGTAAAAAAGAGTAACAGCTCCTTCCCCACAGTAACATGTGTCTCAGAACTGTCGTGGGGATTAAACAAGATGCCATCAAGTGCCTGGTGCAGATCCTGGCGCTCCCACACAGTTCGACCCCTTCCCTCACTGAGCCCTGATGCTGTCTGCACCATCCTGTCCTGTGTGCATGTCCCCAGCCTCCTGGTCCCCTGCCCGCCTGCTCCTCCTCCTCCTCCCACCACCCCTCGGGGTCTCTTCCGGAAAGTCTTCCCCGGGCCAGGAGCATATGAGGGGTCCTTCCTTTGCATCCCCACAGTCCTCTGTACCCCCTCCTCACGACATCAGTCATGCTGTACCGCCACCATTTGTGTGGGTGTCTGTTCCCCCATCACACAGTGAGCTTCTGGAGGACGGGGCCTCATCTGTTTGCCCCATGTATGGCCCCATGTGGAGACCTGTGAATGTCTGGCGGGAACGCACAGAGATATGCTCACGCGCCAGCCTCAGGGCGGTCACGATGTCCCATCTACAATGAAGGTGACTGCAGAGCGGCAAGACAGGGCCAGGGAGAGGGCCAGAGCAGCCCGGCATCCCCACAGGCGCAGAACCACGCCTTTGAGCATCCCCGAGGCCAAGTTTGTGTGTGAGACGCCATGTCTCTGTCTGGCCCTACAACACCCCTGGATGGGAAGGGCCGGGGCTCTGCAGGGGTGTTCTGTGGGTGCAGGGAGGCTCCCCCCGGAAGGGATGGTCAAGACAGTGTGCATCAGGAGTCCCCTCTAGGTCAGGGGGAAACAGGGACAATTCGGGTCCCTTGACAAGGGCCTGGGGGACACGGGGACACTCTCAGCTAAAATGCAAGGCTGAGCAACGCTGACACAGGGAGCACGCTGCTGAGGGCTACTGCCACCCAGACACCGGCCACGTCTGTAAAGTGGGGGTAGCAGTACCCCAGAGCTGTGGTGGGGTAAACTAAACCCTTAGCACGGACATGAGGGCCTGGCCCATAGGCAGTGCCACACACGTGTCTCATGGTGTTGTACACATGTATGTGGGTGCACGCACTTGTTACACACACAAACATGGATGTGTGCATGGGCCTTCCACCATGTGTGGAAGAGGAGCTGCAAAGTTATCTGCTAAGGTAGTGAGGCTGGTGTGTCCGGGTAGATGGTCTACAGGTGTGCCTTCCTTTCTTCTTTTTGCCTGTCTACATTTGATTTCTTTTTTTCTTTCTTTCTCTTTTTTTTTTTTTGGTAATGAACACGCATCGTATGTGTAATAAGGAAAAAAAACCAATAAAAGCTCTTTTTATATTAAATAAAAACAATGGAGAGAAAGGAATGATTCGTTCTTTTTCATTTGCTTTTGTTTTGCATTGTTTCCTAATTATAAAGGTAGTAGGGGCTCACTGCGGATGATCTGGAAAGTATAACGAAGCAAACAAAAACCACCCATAATTCTACCACCCAGAGCCGCTACCCCTGCGTTGCATTTTCTTTTTCGCATATTTTCTATGCGTTTAAACTTTGTTTCCCAAACCTGTTGCACATTCAGTTTCATACATAGCGTTTGTCACCTGATCTTACAGCATAAGCATATAGCATCATTTATAAACATTATTTTAAAATCCAGGATAATATTCTATCAAGTACCTGTAACCCCGTGCACTTAGCTGTCCCCCTATGGCTGCATATTCAGTTTCCTGCTATTATAAATAAAGCCTCCATGAACATGTGCACAAGAGGCAGCACTGGGATCCTTTCCACAAGACAGACTTCTAGGAGCGGAATCCCTGGGTCAAAGGATTTGAAGATTCTTAAGGCTCTTGGTACCCACTGCCAAGCTGCCTTCCAGATATGCACCAACTGATGAGAAATGACTAATTCTTCCCGGGCCCATCAGGGAAGGAGATGCACATGCCAGGAAGATGAGGGGAAGAGCCTTCAGGCTGGGATGCAGTGGGTTCCCGAGTGGAGAGCTATGAGGCATATTTAAAGGAGTGGTCTCCATGGTTTTGTAGCTGGAATGTGACAGTGGACAGATATTGCAGGGTCTGGCAGCATAGGATTCCTGAGTACCAAGTATGTGAGTGTGGATATGCTAGGCAATGGGCAGCTCTGGAGAGTTCTAGAGCATGTGCGGAGGCCCGTTCCGTCTCCTCCCACGTCCAACCCCAAGGATGCTCTTGGGATTGGGCTTGGACTCAGGAAGAATGGCACAGTGTGACTCTACAGCCTGACATGTGGAAACCGTGGTCCTGGAGGCTCAGGAGGGAGGCATCTCCTGAGGGCCTAGCGTGCTGGCACTGACCTGGTTGGCTTTATAGAAGAAGTCGCCGAAAGGTCCTCGCCAGAAAGCTGTGTCTCCTGTGCTCCAGGACCTGACGTACCGGGACATCAGCCCAGTCGGGTAGCACTGGGAGCAAACACAAGGAGACCTCACTGAGACATGTACATGCTTCCCGTACCAAATATGTCAGCTACTAACGTGCAGATGAACCCAGAAGCTTATCCAGAAGGGAAATGGTGAGGCTGGGATAAGAACCACAGGGCTGACAGCCTTACCTTCAGAGGTCTCTGACCCACGGGACCACAGGTGCCCTACATGTCACAGCACGGAGTACAGAACTGGGTAAGAGATGAGTAACGTCAACTGACACTCACTCTCAGTATCAGGGAGGCAACAGGGGGTGGTGGGGACTGTGGTAAACTGGTGAGTGCAGGAATGCTCCTTCTAAAGGAGGAAGTCACTTTGCAGATCCTGGGATGTAGTCTGTGGGGCTGATGATGCTCTATCTTCTGATTTTCTAAGGGCAAAAGATCCACATTTCCATGTAAAATTACCCATCTCTGAAATGTCAGAAACTAATGCTAAATTTTAAAACGCTGTGTAGGCCCAAACCAAATACATCTATGTGCTGCAATCAGTTCTTAGGCCACTCGTTTGCAGCCTCTGTGTTACCTGTCACTGTCTCCTGCTGGCTGATAAAAGTAAAGGTTGTGCAGGGGATCCCTCATGGGAGCGGGCAGTCCACATTTCCTGTGGGCCTGCCCACTGGGGGCCAGGCACCATGCTGGGGCTATAGACCTTAAGCTAGACCTTAAGCTCCATGAAGACAGCCAGTGTCTGAACCTTGGGAAAGACTTCATAAATAGCTCAATGAATGAATGAATCAATCAATCAATTAATCCAGATTCAGGACCCCTCCTGAAGGAGATCACAAACTAGGAGGGACCAAAGTCTGATACATTCAAGGTAGACACTACCCAACACCCCATGAAAAGGACAGAATGCTGAGAGAGCCCTGAGGAGGTACAGTCACTTCTAATGGAGTAAGATCAAGGATGGCTTCCTGGAGGAAGAGGTGTTTGAGCTGGACCTTGCAGGTTAGGTAAGACTGCATTTACTAGGGACACCTGGGTGGCTTAGTTGGTTAAACGTCTGCCTTTAGCTCAGGTTATGATCTCAAGGTCCTGGGATCAAGTCCCTCATCAGGCTCCCTGCTGCTTCTCCCTCTGCCTGCCACTTCCCCTGCCCGTGCTCTCTCTGACATATAAATAAAATCTTAAAAAAAGGGACGCCTGGGTGGCTCAGTTGGTTAAGCAGCTGCCTTTGGCTCAGGTCGTGATCCCAGCGTCCTGGGATCGAGTCCCACATCCGGCTCCTTGCTCGGCGGGGAGCCTGCTTCTCCCTCTGCCTCTGCCTGCCATTCGGTCTGCCTGTGCTCGCTCTGTCTCCCTCTCTCTCTGACAAATAAATAAAATCTTAAAAAAAAAAAAATTTTTTTAAAAATCTTAAAAAAAAAAAAAGATTGCATTCACCAGGGATGGGAGCAGTAACACAGAGAGGGTTCTGGGCATCAGGTATGGTCAAGGTAGCACAGCCCAAGACACAGGAATGTGAGGGGGAGGGGGAAGCTCTAATAGGACTGGAAGGGTGTTTGAAGTGAGAATACAACTCAGTTTGAAGGAGACTGGGCTTAGGTTACCAGTCATGCTTTTAAGCAACCACAGCTACCTCTGGTAGCATCTCTGACTTCGCTGGGTACCATATGTATAAAGCAAGGGAAGGCCTCAGCCCTCCTGCCAGAAGTCTGCGAGGGAGGCTACAGTTCTCTTAACTTTCTGGAGGCAAGCACACCGGTTTTCTGACCCCAGTCTTGGGGAAGGCACAGGCCCAGCTGTGGCTTGAGTGGCCCTATGGCACAGACAGCGCTCAAGGAGAGAGGAAGGATTCTTCTGTGCCTCCAGCACCCACACGGAGCCTGCTCAATACACACTTGTCCAACAGAACCGACCCTGAATTTCTATTCTTCCATGTGGGGTCACATTACCCAAGGGGCCTTGGGACAGTGACATCACCACTCTGAGCTTCAGTTTCTTTATCTGTAAAGTGGGATAATACGATCTACTCTGCAGGACAGTTATAAGGCTGAAAGGAGATGGAAACAGTTGGAAAGCTGGAAAGAGTGCATGGTGCCAAGAAGGTGCCCGAGCGATGAGAGTTCCTCCCTCCCATCCACACGGGAGGTGACCCTAAAAAACCCAAGTGCCTTCCCAATTTGCAAAGACATTTCCAGCTCTTCCCAGCCAGCGGCTTAGGGATAATTAAGCATCTCTCTAAAGAGAGGCTTTCCGGTAAATGAGGAGAAAATCAGCCTTGCAGCTGGGAGAGATCCAGCTGCCCTGAAGAACTGTCTCCAGGCTTATCCTTTCAACAGAAACACACCCAGACGAGCAGCTTGGGGAAGCAGGCCATTTGGAGAGGATTTGTGGAATCTCCCAGACAAACAGTTGCGTGGAGAAGGGATCCCATCCAAGCTTCTGTGTGAGGGAATAAACACTCGGGCTTTGAGTGCAGTCAGGGAAGGCAGGAACCAAGACAGTGCTCGGGTCCTGGAGGCAGGAGGCCAGGCTCACTCACCGGCCACACTTCCTACTCCCTGTGGAGCCTCAGGTCCTCCTGGGGTCTCAGTTTGCTTATCAATGAAAGGGGAATAATAATTCCCATGCTACAAGGATGATAAAGGATGTGAAAGCTATTCTTAAATACCACTGTTCCCTAGGGTTCTGTGTGGGAAATGACAATGTCGACTATGTAGTAGGTTGACCTGTATGAAACCACTGTTTCTGTAAGTCAAAAATGTTAGAGTATCAGAAGTTTCATGTACTTCAACCTAATTATTTTTTCCACATAATTGGATCTTCAGGATCTCTTATATATCTGGTGCCGACACCTTGGGTCCTGGGGGGATGGGGGCGGTTTGTACCCAGACTATTTTGTTCATCTCATCTCTGCCAAGTGCCATACCCACCTCGGCTGCCCCACGAGCACCCCTCCTGCCAATCAGACTGGGTACAGTTCCCACAGACCCTGTCTCACACCTCCTTCCCTTTGGTCATCTGCCCAGGCTGAGGCCTGGAATGCCACTTCCTACCACTGCCAATTTGTATCCCTTGGTCAAGGCCCAACTCCAACGCCCCGGCACTGTCTCCACCCTGAGAATGGTCTCAGGTTAGTCCCATTCACGAGGTGCTGCGTGCCCCAACTTCTGCCTGCTCGCCCCCTTCTAGGCCGGGACAGGTCACTAACGGCTCCCCCCAGCTGTGCCTCCTTTGCCCTTGCGCACGCTGGGAACACAGCACCGAGAGCTTCCTTCTCACCCTTCCCTGCCGGTTCTCCATTCCTTCACTTCAACTTGCAGCTCTAACTCAGCTTCTGCTGGGAAGGCCCGCTGCCTTCCCTGCACCCCAGCTGCCCTGAACTGGGTTAGGGCCTCCTGTCACGGCGTCCATCCCATCATCCTGCCCTGGTCTGGCCCTCTGTCCCGGGGTGGGCACTCTCTCTGACTCCTCTCTGGAGCCCAGCAACCAGTACACAGCAGGGGCCGGCGACTCGGCCACCCCTTCCCCTGGACCCAGGGTTCACTCTCCACAAAGAGCTGAGAAAGCATGAGGGAACAGCGTGAACTTTCTTGGTCTGAGCTTCCTTTTCCTAAAATCAGTCTCTGTTGGGATCTGAGGTGCCAACCCGCACCCCTGCCCTGGGAAAGAAGGAGATGGCAGAAGGCTTCCTTTACTCCCCCTGCTCTTTCCTCAAGCCAGCCTCCTCCCATGTGAACACAGTGGCTTTTCCCACATGGCTGAGCACCACCCCATCCCGACCCAGATGCCAAACAGAGTCCAGTCCACACCGTCTGAAGGGCACCCGCGTGGGTCGGCTCACCTTGATTAAAACTTCAAAGTATCCTTCTGCGTTGGCAGGGCTGATGGGTGTATAGGCTCTCTGAATTTCTAAGCCGTCCACCTTCCCTCTGGGGAAGAGAAGTATATGGTCAGGCAGTCAGCCAGGCCAACAAACGCTTATACGTACCTCCTCTGTGCCAGGCTGGTGAGAGCTGGGGCCCAGCTGTCCCCAGTGGTCCTCACTGAAGGTGGAGCAGAAAAAAGGGGCACTGGGCTCCCCCACTGCCATGTGCTGGCTGTGAGACCCAGGCAGGTCAGTGATCCCTTAGCTGCCCCTCTGTAAAGTGAGGACAACCGCATGTGTCCCTGTGGTGTGGTTCTATAGGATCAGAGATGGCAAAGTCTTCAAAGAGTCCACTGATGATGGGGGTTGTTTTTAGGACCTCACTGTGGTGTTTCCTGACCTCTTCTCGACCACAGAACAAGAAAGAGAAAGACTGTTAATGTTTATTTAAACACTTACTACCAAGAGCATCAGAATTAGAAGGATCCTCGATGGTGCCCTAGTCCAAAGCCTGACCTCATGCACGAATCCTCTCTATGATGTTATCAACAATGGGGCTGGGATGATAATGACAAGTAATAATTGTAGCAGTCATGTTGTAGTCGATAACTACTACGCACCAAGCATATTGTGCACGTTACCTCATTTAACAAATGATAACCCGGGGCGCCTGGGTGGCTCAGTTGGTTGAGGGTCTGCCTTCCGCTCGGGTCGAGATTCCAGGGTTCTGGGATCAAGTCCTGTGTCATCAGGCTCCCTGCTCACTGGAAAGTCTGCTTCTCCCTCTCTCTCTGTCCCTCCCCCAGCTTGTGAGCATATGCACTCTCTCTCTCTCTCTCAAATAAATGAGTAAAATCTTAAACAAAAAAACCCAAAAGGGGCACCTGGGTAGCTCAGTGGGTTAAAGCCGCTGCCTTCGGCTCAGGTCATGATCCCAGGGTCCTGGGATCAAGCCCCACATTGGGCTCTCTGCTCGGTGGGGAACCTGCTTCCTCTTCTCTCTCCCTGCCTCTCTGCCTACTTGTAATCTTTGTCTATCAAATAAATAAATAAAATCTTAAAAAAAAAACAAACCAAAAGACCCCAATAACCCACATGAGGAAACCAAGGCTTGGACGTTACTTGCTTGAGGTCACACAGCTAAATACCATCCTTAGCTCTGACTGACTCCAGAGCGGGGTTCCTCACACAACACTTCAGAGCTTCCCAGAAACACCCAAGCACTCCTCCTTTGAATCCTACTGTGTGCAAAACTTTCTTCTTGGACATGTGGAAAGATTAAAAAGACCCCACCCTGGGGCGCCTAGATGGCTCATTTGGTTAAGCGTCCAACTCTGGTTTTGGCTCAGGTCATGATCCCAGGATCCTGGGATGTAGTCCCACAACATGCTGCTTGCTCAGCAGGGAGCCTGCTTCTCCCTCTGCCTGCCACTGCCCCCTGCTCCCTTCTCTCTCTTTGACGAATAAATAAATAAATAAAATCTTTAAAATAAGGGGCTCCTGGGTGGCTTAGTTGTTAAGTGTCTGCCTTTAGCTCAGGTCATGATCTGAGGGTCTGAGGGTCGAAACTTGAGTTGGGCTCCCTGCTCAGCGGGAAGCCTCTTTCTCCCTCTACCACTGCCCTTACTTGTGTTCCCTCTCTAGCTTTTTCTCTGTCAAATAAATAAATAAGTAAATAAATAAATACCTTTAAAGTCTTTAAAATAATAAAAAATCAAAAGGCCCCATCTTAATGCATCACAAGCAAGAAGCTAGACAGAAATATTCAAGGAACGCTTGGGGAACACACAGGGAAATAAGAAACACAACCTGTGGCCTGGCTTGGATGCCAAGAGCACTGTGACATCTGCCGTCACAGAGGTAAACACAGACATGCTCCAGACGGAGGGACCACTCTCATCCGGGGAGCTTCAGGAGGCCTCCTAGTACCCTCCTGGCTATGAAAAAGGCAGGCCACTCACAGGTGAAAATGGGGACAGGACGGGAAGGAATTCCAGGCAGAGGGCACAGCCCGGGCAAAAGCTTAGAGGTAGGAAATGCAGAGCAAGCCAGGAACTGGTGGGTGGGTCACGGGGCTGGAGCAAAGCACATGTGTGAGGAAGGAGCAGGGAGGACTCAGTGGGAAAGGAAACTGGAGCCTTGGGAGCCTCCTTGGAACACGAGAAAGGAGGGACACAGTTAGCTACCTATGTTAGGAATGTCGCTGGAGCAGCAGAGAGGGTGGAGGAGAGGCGCCAAGCTAGGGACAGGGAGTGCTGGGCAGCCCTGACTTATGGATGGAGGGTTGCATGGGGCTGTGACTTGCCCTGGAGCCACTGGGATAGTGATCTTTCATGACAGCCAGCCAGGCCTCAGGCTGGACACACTAGGTGCCAACACTGGGAGATGGCATGAGGCAAGTGGCTAGAGTGTGACCCGTAGTAAGACACTCTCCTTGTCCTCTGTCGGCTCTGCTGGTTCCCCCCCTTCTTGCCAATACCACAAATGCTGGAGTTGCCAGGGTTCGGTCCTCCATCCTTCCCTCTTTCCACACCACATACACCCCCAAATGCCACCCAGGTGCCAGCTGGTGATTCCCACGCTCACTTCTAGAGCTCAAGTCTCTCTGCTGAGCCTCTGACCCAGAGTCAACCACCTAGCAGATGCCTCCCCCTGCAGGTCCCAAAGGGCCTTGTCTCTGGGCCAGTGGAGTAGAGTGCAGAGGGAGGGGGTCAAAGTTGAGGGAGAGGGCAGAAGGAGGCTGGGAAGAGGAAGGAACTTCAGAGGACTGGTAGAGTGTAGCTGGCAGTCAGGCTGGGGGTTTGAATCCTGGCTGCAGGACTTACTAGCTGTGTGATCTTGGGCAAGTCCCTTATTCTCAAGGACAAGTGTCCTTCCTCTCAACTGGCACTAATATTAGATTCATACCACAGGCTCTAGAGCCAGACTGCTTGCCTTCAAATTGTGGCTCCACCATTTCTTAACTGTGTGACATTGGGCAAGTTACTGAACCTCTCTGACTTCAGTTTCCTCTTGCGAATGATAATGGTACCTTCTGTACAGGGTTTTGTGAGGATGCAGTGAATTCCTAGGTGTTCTAGGAGGCAGTCCTAGCACACAGAACTGTGTGCTGGAGAGTAAATGCCACGTTAGTGTTTGCTGTTACTGTTGCTGCTGTTAGTTGTTACGAAAACACAATCCCAGAATCCTCTGAGTCAGGTGGCACTATGTTTGTCTTAAGGGTGATCAATGGAGGCTTAAGGGAGGCTGAGCAAGTTGCCCTCAGCCACATAGCAAGCAAATGGCCAAGCGGGGCTGTGAAACTTTGGCTTCCCACTACCTGAGTGTACCGTAGGACGAGGTGCTGGCCAGGCCGCAGGCCGAGCTGGCAGTTCCTGGGGAGTGCGAACCGAACATGGTAAGTGTCTTCGGTGAGTCTGTCCATGGCACTGATGCGGAAGGCCAGGAAGGTCTCTGGGCTCAGCTTGGACGGACAGCTCTGTAACAGGAAAATATCCAGTAGCTAGGACCTGGGGCCCAGCAGACACGCAAGCAGGCACAAGCACCCTTTTTGCTTTCCCTTCTGGACAGGCTATCTCTCTGTGGACAGTTTTTTTTGTTTGTTTTTAAAGATTTTATTTATTTATTTGACAGACAGAGATCACAAGTAGGCAGAGAGGCAGGCAAAGAGAGAGGTGGAAGCAGGCTCCCCGCTGAGCAGAGAGCCCGATGCGGGGCTCGATCCCAGGACCCTGGGATCATGACCTGAGCCGAAGGCAGAGGCTTTAACCCACTGAGCCACCCAGACTCCCCATGTGGACAGTTTTTTGAGTAGTCCCGCCTCACCTCCCTTTCATGCTCTGATCAAAGAAGGCCCGAGCGTTTCACACTGAGCTTCCCCTACTTGGAAGCCTTCTGCAACTCTGTCAGCCCCAGGATAAAGTGTAGCCTCCTTGGCTGGACACTCCAGGGCCCTGTGGATGAACCTCAAGCCTCCTTTTCTTCTCTGTTTTACCAAGAATGCCTTGCTGCTTCCTGTTTGGGAATCTTTATTTGCTCAAGCTGTGTCCTTTATCCAGAACACTCATCTCCGATGTATGAAATACCTACTCACCCTTCAAACCTGCTAAAAATCCAGATTTGTAGAATTTAGAAATTGATGGGACCTTAAGATGATCTAATCTACTATCCTTATTTTCCATGTGGGGAGACTGAGGCCTGAGTGGTAGTGGCTTCCTTGTCCAAAGTCACACCCTGAGCAGGAATTCAAATTGTAGTAAGTACAAGTGATAGTCCCATTAGCTGTAACTTCTACTCTAAGGTATACGCATTCTGACCTCCATGAAAAGTCAAGGAGGACTTCCACATGAGGGACTATAGTATTTTATTCAAGTTTCTCATTTACAGATAAACATGTTGGACTGAGTATATTTAAAAATTTGTGATTTTTAGTAACCATTAAGAATGTAACTTTTACCATTTGGATACTGACCTAAGTATACTATGTTATTTACCACTGTTAAATATATTATTTCAACCTTTGTGGAAAAAAAAAAAAAAACCTTCAAACCTGCTAAAAATCCAGATTTGTAGAATTTAGAAATTGATGGGACCTTAAGATGATCTAATCTACTATCCTTATTTTCCATGTGGGGAGACTGAGGCCTGAGTGGTAGTGGCTTCCTTGTCCAAAGTCACACCCTGAGCAGGAATTCAAATTCACGTCTTCCAAGTCTCAGTCCACCACCTTTAACATTCCACTCACTTGCACCTCCTCCAGGAATTCTTCTCTGAATGTCATGACTCACAGATCTCTCTCCTGTAAAATGCCCAAACCTCATTCACACCTGGGCCGACCCCATGCCTAGGTTTGGGCCAGGCTTTGAACCCGAATCTCTCTGCCGTGCAGAGTCAGGGCAATCTTCCCCACATGGGTGCAGGGTGCTGACACTGCCACCTTGACCCGTCTTGGCTGAGGAGCAGCCCTCCCTCACCTGTGACTCCTCCCCACTCAGCAGGCTCCTGTTCTTGCTGGCTCGGGCTGCCTCCCACTTTGCCAGCTCTTGGTGATAAAGGTCAAACACACAAGGTGAGCAGCCACTGCCACAGCACTGGGAGGGCAAGGGCTCCACCGGCCGAAGCTGCAGCCAGGCTTCCTCATCGGCATCCTCCTCCCTCTCATCCAACATTGGTGGGGCTTGAGCAGCCTGGGAGGGACAACTTGGTGCTCTTCCCAGATCAGGTCCGACTCAGGCCACAGGCCCGGGGCCTCTCCTATTGGCCTGAGAGAGAGGGAAAACATGTTGATTACACTCTGGTCACCTTGATTTCTCCCATTCGCCCTGAGGCCCGCAGGTGCCCAACTCTGTGTGAGCACTGGGTCAAGGAGGACTCACCCTGAGTCCTGCTGCCTGGAAGGGGAGGCAGGCAGACAGGGTGCAATGATCAGAGCTGGCACCCAAAGTTTCCTGATTTCTTCCTGTGCTTTGGGTGCCAGATAAGCACTTTACATAGAAAAGCTCATTGAATTAAAAAAAATAGTTTAAATGAGAAAATATAATAGTTATGTACAATTTAACGGTTGTCAAAATTATTCAGAAGTTAAAAATGTTAGAAAGGAACACCTTTGTAACTACCACATAGTCAAATACAAAGAATTGGCTAGTGACCCAGAAGCCCCTCATAAGTATCCCTTCCTGATCACCTCCCATCCCCCACAAAATAACCATCATCCTGACCTTTGGTATAATCATTCCCTTGCTTTTCCTTAGTTTTGCCCACTTTGTGTAGAAACTTAACCACTGTAGTTCATTTTTGCCGGGTTTTTACTTTTATGTCAACAGAATCATACCAATGTATTCTTTTGTGTCTAGTTTCTTTTTTAAATAGTATATGTTTTTTGGATTTTTAAAATTATTTTTTTCAAGAGAGAGAGAAAGAGAGAGACTGAGCATGAGTGGGGGGAGGGGGCAGAGGGAGAAGCAGACTCCCCACTGAGCAAGGAGCCTGATGAGGGACTCCATCCCAGGACCCTGGGATCATGACCTGAGCTGAAGGCAGACGCTTCAGCAACTGAGCCACCCAGATGCCTCTTTTATCCAATTTCTTTCCTTCAGGTAAGTCACCCACCAAACTGCTGCATTTAATTTAATCCTTATAATGAGGCTGGTACTAGAGATGTCATTTTTTAAATAGGAAAACTGGGGTCTGGGGGTGGTTAATAACATACCCAAGGTCAACCTAACTCCTAAGACAGGGAGGTCCAGTTTCTCAGTTACCAAACACTTCCCATGATTCCTAATCTTTAAGACCTTTTCTACTTATCCTGCTTCCCATGTCCATTTACACTGGAGCTTCCCATGGTCCCAGAGGATGTGCTTCCAGTCTCTCCCTACACCATCCATCAGCATACCTGCCACCAGTTCTGATCACACCAGTCTCCTGTTTAGCAAACTTTAACAGCTCCCCAGTTGCCTTCTGGCTTGAATCCAATCTTCCTGCCTGGTTCCCAGGCTCCTTCTGATCAGAACTTGTCCAAATCCTCTTACCACTTGGTTTTAGAAGGGCAGTCCCTCTGTGTGCAATATATCTTTCTCTTATACAAGAAAGGGTTTGGTTTCAGAAAACTTGGATCTACTGTTCATGAGCTCTATGACTTCAGGAAGGTTTAGCAGGCTGCAACCCCCTTGAGGACAAGGATGATGTCTTATTCTTTCTCTGTTCTACCACTAAGCACAAGGCTGGCATATGGAAGGCTCCAGTGAATGGTGAATGTTCAGTTTATAGAAAAGGTCTGAGAGCCAGGCACAGTGCTACATGCTGGGACACAAGACGTAAATAGGATACAGGCTCTCTACCTTTAGAGAGCTTGCAGCCTAGCATGATATCTTAATAATGCAACCCGTTTTTATCTTGTGCTATGGACCAGGTGTGTATGGTGAGCAAATGAAGTCTGGAGCCCTCTTTATGCTTTTTTTACTCCTAAAGTTTTTGCAAGATAAAGTGAGAGAAGAGAAAGCTCTATTTATTCATCGTAAACTGCAAGACAGCGTGAGGGTTATTCCTATTAGTATTTGCCTTAAACTTACCTTCTCCGTGTCTTAACTACCCTACTTCCTTTGGTATTTTGGAAATTGGCAGAGAAGTTGGCCAAGTCTGTCATGAACTTTAAAGACCTGATTCCTGCCTCCTCCTAGCCTCACCTCTTTCTTCAGACTAAGACGCACTACTTTAAGCCAGTTCTTGACACATCCTGTTGTCCCTGGTGGGATGATTCTCCCCACCCTTCAGGCCTTCTTAAAGGTCACTTCCTCTCACTCTATTTAGTTCGATTATGTATTGATTCATTTAGCATGTATTTACTAGTGCTAGGCACTCGTCTAGGTGCAAGGGATAGAGCAGCGAGGAAGCAAAAGCCCCTGCACTCATGGAGTTCACATTCTGGTGGAAGAGACAGTCATTAGACAAGATCAAAATAGAAAACGCGACATTTAGTGTTAAGTGCTAAAAAGGAGGAAAGGAATAGGAAATACGTGTGCGTGTTCCAATTGCTTATTTATTGACTTGACTTACTTTCTGCCCATACGCTCTACATCCCATAGCTATTTTATTCACCAACGAAAACCCGACGCTCACCACTGCGCCTGACACACTGCAATCATTTGATAAACCGGTGTTGGTGGGCACAAGGAGCAAAGAACACCTCCATAGCTCAGGCCTTGTTTCTAGGAGGCAGACAGGGAAACCCCGAGGAAACGGGAGGAAACTAGATCCCGCCGGGGAAGGGGCGCGCAGTCGGATGCCGAGCTGGTGTGATGGCCAAGGCCACTCTCGGACTCCGGGAGGGGCAGCGGTCGAGGTTCCGCAGCGTGGGAAGTGAGTGGGGAGGCAAGAAACTTCAGTGCACCCACTTCGGGCCGGGAGCTGTGCAGGCACGCTAACTTACGCATTTCTAACCCATTTTTACAGTGAGGGACACTGGGGCTCGGAGGGAAGTGCCCTGCCCAAGCTTCAGCTGCCCGTAAGCGGTCAAGGTTCCCTAAATTCGGGTTTGAAATAATGGTATTGCAGCCTCCAACAAGACCACTCACCTACACACCTGCGCCTCCCCTCGAGACGCGTTCTTCCAGGTGCTGAGCCCCCCCCACTCCGGGAGGCGGGAAGAGGGTCTCACCTATGAGAAAGTGAAAACAGCTGGAGGGGTGGGGCAAGGTAAGAATGTACTGAATATGATTGGTTGAAGTGGCTGCCACTCATAAAACGAGCCTCGGCGCCCAGCCCCTTTCGGTTCCAGCAGGCCTTGCGCGCAGGAACATGGCGGCGTCCAGGTGGAGGTCTTGAGGGGGATCAAGTTGGTATGGCGTTGGTATCGGGGCCCGCGAGGCGGGCACTGGTTCGCCCTGGGCGGCTCGGCCTTGGGGATTGCGGGGCTCCGAGACGCGGGGCGTACGAGTGGGGCGTGCGCTCTACGCGGAAGCCCGAGCCTCGTCCCCTGGACAGGGTGTACGAGATCCCGGGACTGGAGCCCATCACGTACGCGGGGAAGATGCACTTCATGCCCGGGCTGGCGAGGCCGGTCTTCCCGCCCTGGGACCCCGGTTGGACGCACCCAAAGTTCCGCCGCCCAATCCCGGTTCACGAGCAGCCGTTGTACAAGGATCAGGCCTGCTACGTCTTCCACCAGCGTTGCCGCCTCCTCGAGGGTGAGGCCCTAGGACGGGCAGGAGGGGATCTCCTTCCTCCGCCCAGCACTGACCCCAACTCTCCGTGACCTTGCAACTTTGTGGGTCTCGGTTTCTTTGGCTGCAATGGGTAGTGATGACATCTTCTGAGGGTTTCAGGTTTAAGTAGGATGAGAAGTGTGCTTCTGTGAGGCAGTGTTAGGTTGAATGGCGAAGTGAAAAGACCTGGTTTCTGGTCTGTCCCTGCCTCCATCTAACTGTGTGATTTGGGGCAAGTGGCTGAAATTTCCGGAGCCTCCATTTTCTGTGAACTCAGTGGTTTTGATTAGATGATCCACATTGACCCTTCCAGCTCTTAATACCCTGGAGATAAAACTGTACATTGAATGATTCAATGGAGGGAGTTTATAGTTGAAAGAGACAGCAGAAAGCATGCTTAATCTGGTCTATGGCCTCTTTTGGCAGGATTGGTGAATGTGACAGAGAGGTGCCCACACAGGTGCCGTGGGTTAATAGTGAACCCAGGGCTACCTGTCTTGTGTCCTAAGTCAATGTTCTCTGTCAGAGGTCAGAGCTGAGATGTTTTCAAGGAAGGGTTCTGGATCCAAAAGCCATCAAGCCTATTTCTGCCCCCCTTTTATAAGAACAGGTCATAATGACTGAGCTGAACGAAACCAGTCTGTCTAAGAACAGGACCAGAATTATTTTCCAGAGTCCATGGGGGTGGGTGAGCTTTTTATTGAGAGTCCCTTTCCTTATTCTTCAAGGTTGCCTCTTCTTCCTTAGTCACCAAATCACTGTGGGGATGGGGCAGATTCTGGAAACACAAAATGGTCAAGGTCAGTGGGAGCAGTATTTTCCAAGGAGTAATTAGGAAAGAAAGACACCTGGCAGGATTTGGGGACTAAACCAAAGAATAAATCCTAGATTTGAAAAAAACTTAACTGGCCAGCCTCTTAAGCCACTCAAACCCATTCCTGAAAGCTGAATTTCCAGCATCTAAACATTCCCATTGCCCTACCTGGGTATTGTAATGGACCTCACAAGACTTGGCACCCCCCCCCCATTTTGTTTAATTTAAGTAGGCTTCACACCCAGCATTGGGCTAGAATCCATGACTCTGAGATTAAGAGTCCATGCTAAGGACTGAGCCATCCAGGTGCCCCACCCTTGTGTGACCCTTATAACATTACTAGGCTTTAGAGTAGACAAACTCAGGTTCTCCTCTCCATCATCACTTACAGGGTATGTGACTTGAAACAAATTCTTTAGTCTCTGAATTTCATCCTCCATTCCATAAAACCCCACCCGATCTGTAGATAAAGTTCCTGGCACAGGGTAGATGGTGGTGCTCAGTAAATGGCAGCTCTGATGATTACGTATTATTCATATCCTAGGGAACCATGAAATCTCAATATTTTAATCCACTGTCAAGTTTAAAGAACAATGGCAGTGCCAGAACTAAAATTCAGGTTATCTGACTCTGGTCTAGGGCTTTTTCTGCTGCA